TTTCAACCTACCGAAAATACGCTGGTCATCCCACCCAACGTCTACCTTGCACGCCTCTTTTCCTTTTTCCATCAGAGCTGGAGGCTGGAAAAAATGGGTTACCAGTCCAACCAGGTCCGCCAATGTACTGGACTTAATATTCACATTGGGGATACCCAATCCACAGACCGAGATCTTAAACAATCTCCCTGGCAGCGACCATAACATGATGCGACTCAGTTTCCAAATTAAAATGGTCACTAAACTCGCCTCTACAACGCCGGTTGCAACCCATAAAATATACTGGGAATGGTTTCAGCAGTTCATTCGTTTCTCTGACTGGGATGTATTTTTCCTCTCTACCAGTGTGTACACCGCTGTGGAGCAGTTCTATAAACAAATCCATCACGCTATAGCCCTGCTTGCTCCACAGTGTATTCATACCCCCCAAGTCTCCAAAAATTCCGTCGAGCACTTAATTAGCAAGAAAACCAGAAAGTTAGCTGCAAGATACAAAAGGACCCATGACTTTTCACTTGTCTTACAAATGCATGAATTTACCACCAGAGTCAAACACGCGCAATTAACACGATGAAAAAATGAAGAATATACAGCCCTACGGACAAGCTGCAAAACTAGGGAGCTTGTCAAAATACTGCATCGTAGAACCAGTGACCGCTCTCCTCTGATTACCGAAATGGTTGATGGTGAGGGTTACTTACTCCATGCTGAAATCTGTGAAGCATTCAGTGACTTTATTGCCACTATCATGAGTCGCGAAGCTGACCCGGTGCCTGTGTGCACAGAGCTCACAGTAACAACCCTCTTAAACAGAGTCGATATCTCGCTCAACGCTATCCACCAAGTTATCAAATTAATCAGGCCATCTTCCAAGCTGGGATCTGATGACATTTCACCAACCACCATTAAACTAGGAGGGCCTGATATACCATTGCTCCTGCTGAGCATGTTCACTCTATCGCTGGAATCTAGCCACTTTCCAGATCAATGGAAAACGTCATTTATTATGCCTCGGCATAAAGGAGGTCCCAAACAAACGATTGATAACTACCGACCCAATAATCGCTCGGCTATTTGAAAAGCTGGTCAGAATGGAGATGATGAAATTTATTGATTCTACTGGCCTGATCAACAATTCGCAGCATGATTTTCTCAGTAAGCGATCGTGCACCACCTGTCAACTGCATTACCTTAACCACATTTCAGAATCAATCGATTCCGGCTATGCAGTAGTGATCTTGTTTCTTGACATACACCAAGCGTTCGACCGAGTACCACACAAGCGACTGCTACAAAAGTTGGAGAACTTTGGGAGCCGGGACCCATTGCTAGGTTGGCTATCGCCATACCTGAGTGATCGTCATCAGGTAGTCACTTTAGGTGATTATCGCTCTTCCCCACGCTCAATCACCAGTGGAGTCATTCAACGGAGCGTGCTCGGCCCCGTACTCTTTTTGCTCTATATCAATGACATCACCACATCTGTAAAACATGGTACATCATTTTTATTTGCTGACGATATCAAACTAGTCTATAAGTTTCGGCGTGACGAGCTTCACGGGACATTACTGTTCATTCATGATGACTTACATTCCCTTGAGTCATGGTGCTGCATATGGGTGATGAACCTCTCGGCTAAGAAATCAAGCACCATACCTTACGGCTGCTACATCCCCGAAGGATCTATTACCCTAAACAATGAAGGCGTCACTAAACAGTTGTAAACCCGAGATCATGGAATTCGGTATTCGTCTACCTTCAGTTTCTCCGAACAGGCCCAGTACCAAGTAGCACGTGCCAGACAGTCTATGTTCAATATATCAAACAAAATACACACAACTCGTGCTAGAGTTGAGCTTTTCAAGCTACTCACTCGCCCCATCCTCGAATATTGCAGCATAATATATGGCAATATCAGTGATAAATTGCTGTGGAGCACCTGCAGAGGCCATTTGGTAAAAAGCTGATTGGTAAACAATCTGCTATGAGTTATCGAGAAGGTTGCAATCAACTTCATCTCGAACCACTTTGAATTCGACGATTGAAGCACAACTAGTTGCTGCCTTTCAACGTGTTACACAAAATGACCTATTCCAACCTGCCTACACTCAATTTACAACATTGCTAGACTCGAGCGCTTCACAACAAAGATTTTACACTGAATACACCCAACATCCGCTCTAATTTCTTCCTGGTCAGATATAGTTATCTGTGGAATAAACTATCAATAACCCTCAGGTCATGTGACAACATTTAGTAGCAGACTCGCCAATTACCTTGATCTAAATACCCTAAGCTCTATAATCACAAGGGAAAAATCACTCGATGAGCTATTCCAAGAGGACTCCAAAAACGTCTACACACCAATGTTTTCATAACTAAGCTTTGGCCTCAACCATCCGCCAGAATGTTAATACATGAAATGCATATCCCAATGCTCCAGCTATGCATGTCACCCATGCAAGAGCATGGATTCTTCTGTACAAATTGATCTGTGCCGCTATAAACAGTTTCTCTCATCAAGAGAAATATACCTATTAGTTTTATTATTATTATTTCTACTGACCCAAATCTTTATCCCCATCGTACACAAGGTGTACATATGTACACAGGTATAAAAGCTTACTTACAAGTTTTGTGTGTAAATGCACTGGTTTGCATAATTGACAATCGAAGAGCAATATTTTTCGTTCATGATCAACACAAATAAAAACTTTTAGGGTCAAAATTCTTTCCTGTGTATGACGCTTTCCAACACAAACATTCATATCGCGTCACCTGGTGTCCATGGAATTCTTCGGTAACGTGGACTAAATTTGACCATATTGCCACCAGTTACAGTTGCGCACATCAGTTTAAGATTGTTGGTCAATCCGGATCACATGCCTGGATTACGACCATGCTGTAGGGTGCGCATGCCTGGCGCTCACCCTTCGCGCTTCAAAGAAGTGCCTATCTTCTAACCTGCTTCTAATTCAAACTCGAAGTCTGCAGCTCAACAACATCATAACAAACTAGCCATCCGAATGTCTGTGATGAGGTTGGTGAGCCGAACGCTGACTAATGCGACATGAAGAGTGCCTTTGACGCTTGTTCCGCACCCAACAAGACATCGTAACTACAGATGGATCTCGGAAGCATCGATCAGTTTGATCGAAGTGCGGAAACAAGTTCCAATGGACACTGAGTTTCAGCGTGTCCATCACTTCTTGAAGCGACCTCTGACAAGGAGTCTTCGAGTCGACAGAAAAAGTTGATCGATGGCAAGGGCCCGTGAGATGGAGCAAGCCAGTGCTATTGGAAACAACTAAGTGCTATTCCAGCTCATCCGGAACACGGGCCCGAGAAAGCCATCAGTTGGCGAGTCAACAGTTAAGAAAGATGGACAGTTGATCCATTTCAGCGTCGTCGTCCAGCACGTTGGGCGGAACATTGTGAAGAGCAGTTCAGCAGGCCTGCTGCGACATTTCCGCTTACCGAATCGCCTGAGCCGACGGGGGAAGTAAATGTGACACCTCCAAAATTGGAAGAGATTCGACGTGAGCTTTCTGTGTTTAAACGAAACAAAGCTCCTGAACCCAACGGCCTTCCCCCATCTTTGCTGAAAGATGGAAGTGACACTTCACCGCCTGGACTTGTTTCTCTATATAACATGACTTGGCACACTGAAGAGGTGCCTTTCAGACTGGCAATTGTCAACTGTCGCGTCCATCTTCTAGATGGCATTAGCCTTATTTCCAATGCCTCCAAGATTCTCATGAGGAGCATTCTTCGACGGCTTACTAGTCCCAGTGAGAACCGAGTCACTGAAAGCCCTAGCCGTGGTTGCATCGACACATATCTACTCCTCGCAAAGTTTAAGAGCAGATGCATACAGACGATCGATCATGGTGGTTTTCGCTGGCTTGAAAGCCTCCAGCGACTGTTGTCGACGCCGGCTTGGGACACTGTCTATCCATGAAGGGCAGGTCAGCTAAATCCATTTTCATTCTATCCTCTTTACCATGATTCGCAAAACCGTGTAAGGGTCTACAGGAAACAGTCTCCTGTGTTCCCTACGACAAGTGGGGGTGCCAGGATTGTCCTATATGCCCTTTTAACGTTATTTTCGAAATGATGATAAAGGACTCGGTCCCTAAGACTCTTCCGGAGTGGAAGTTCTGTCAGTTGAGCAAGTGACAGACCTTGAGTATGCGGACGATATAGCTCTCCTCGGGTCCGATGCAGTTGCAAACACTACTGCATAGATTCGCCGTAGTTAGACTCAGGCAGACAGTCAGCACACATCCAGGAAAGCGCTAGACGGCGGTTTCGTCCTATTGAAACTTGTCAGTAGCGCGCACCCGCCGAATCCTGCCGGATTCGAACCCACGACCCTACTCTTGCGAGCCAGCGACCTATGCCACTGGGCCATGGGCGACGGCAGCGGACCGCCATGACCAACATCTAACTGCGATATAGTGCTGCTCATCCTCCACTGCAATGCATGCTATAAAGATTCAGAGGATAGGGCTGGCCCCCAGAGCAACGACTTCCTTTGCAAGCCGCCACCAATCAAGGTGGTATGCAATCTGCTAGAGCGACTACTGATTATTTGAAGTAGTAAAAGGGATTATTAAGTTTTTGTGAAAATTCGTCGCAGTTAGACTCAAGCAGACAGCCTGCCTGATAGCAGCATTAAGTAAACAGTAGAAAGTACCACACATGCACGGCAGAAATCCACAGAAAGTTCAGATGAAAAGAGTCGGCCGATCCAACACGTCTAGAGAAGCTGTCTGAATTAGGCGACCCGGTGGACTGTTATCGAAGCGAAGCCGTGCGTTAACCCTGAAAAGGTATATTTGCTTTTTAGAAATCCCTCGACTTTGGGAATTGAAAAACCGCGCACTGTAGTAATCATCGTGTTGACAGAGTAACGCCGAGGACTTTCGTAACCATCAACATCAATCCTAGCGCGACCGTCTACTTTAAGAGTTGTGTAAAGTGAAAAGCGTTCATAACACGGATTCGGAGTACATGTATTAGTAAACTCGAGGTAAATCTTCAGGCATAGAAATGGTCATAGAGAAAGAAAAATGTAAAAGTTCACGGGGAAAAACATTTTAATCTGGTCACAAGGAGAAGGTTCTTTAAGCGTTATCGACTGGAATCGAAGTTGGCTGAATGTGTTGCAAAGGTAGACTAGCAAGGCCTGATCCACAAACGGAATTTGTCATGGCACGTTCTAAAGATGCTAGCTTGCTGTTGGAAACCGATTCCCCAGTTAATTCTGTTGGAAGTTTCTCGCTGAACTCACAGTGATTTGCGCTCAACTCATCCAGAACATCTTGTGAAAGCCCGTTGGCACCCTCGGCTTCATCATCGTCTTTCAACAAACTCTGATCGGCGTCCTCTTCGGTTTGTTCAGGTTCCGGGCACCCATCCAACAAGCCGTCACCCCAATCAATGGGGAACCGTGTCACTCGTGGATCCGACGCAATGATGTTACGTTCCAACTGAGTTCAGCAAGGCAAACAAGGGGAAAGGGGTAAGGCGCAGCTACACATTTTTAGCAAAGTGCCAAAGATTGAAGTATGTGGCAAATGGTGCGTGTTCCAGGCCGCAGATCGGCCCCGGATGGCGAGAAACGATCAACCAATGGGAGCAGAAGTAGAATTACGGCTAGTCAGCTAGTAAGATGTGAGAGCCTAAATAATACCGGCCGCTGAGATGCAGCAGAAATGCAAGTTCAGAAACAGATTCACGACTTGACGGCGGTGTAGATTAAAACTCATCAGAAGCACACAAAAGGGTATAGATTAATCATCTGTTTAATGCCAGATGATCCAGGCTTAATAGGAGGAGTATAAGTAGAATATATTGCACAAAGGTAGCACGAGCAAACAGTAGTAGAAACTCAAAGAAAACATAGTTGATGTCTATAAAAAAGCTTTATAACAGAAGTTGTGGCAGGTAGAGAAATCTAGTGTCCATAGTGCCTGCTGCTGTCCTGAGTGTACAAGTAAAGAAAACTGGATTGACAGTATCGAGAGGCTATTTTGAAGCACTGGTTGTGTGAATGGGTTGCAAATTTCTATCACAAGCCAACTAACTGTGAAGTGAAACTCGGTCACTTAGTCGCTGGGGCCATATATGAAACGGATGAAGACTGGGTGCTTCCTGCTCGGCTGGTAGTGCTTACACCTCCCCCCGGTCAGAGTTATCATCGTGCCGCCTCTATCTGACGAGTGAAATATATATATATATATATATATATATATATATATATATATATATATATATTATACACAATCTGTGGTACAGATATTGTGCCATCGGAATCATGGCTGAATAGGAAAACAATATGAATAATAAGAAAAGAGCAACAAGAAATGCTTTTTTTTGTCAAGTTTACCACTCACAGTTTTTGAAATTTTTTTTCAGTTTGTTCGTTTTTAGGGGGAGGAGGAAGGGACACCGCAACACACTGATGCACACGTCCGCCATTGACATCGATCTTGAGCCATAACTTCCAAGGTTTTCAACCAGCAAGTATCCTCGTCTCTCGGACCCCAACCAGGTAGTCGACAACAACCGGCCGAGGCCAATTGTTTCGTCAACTTTTTCATGCGGCTTCTCCATGTTGTAGGCTGTCCACCAGACCGTCTCTTCCAGCCCTGTCCAGCAAGTGTAAACAACGCACGACGGGGGTAACGCTGGACAGGCATGCGCAATACGTGTCCCAACCACCGCAGTTGATGCAGTGAGATGAGCTCCTCGAGCGAGTGGCTTCCACGTCCCAAGACACGCTGTCTAACTTCCACATTGCTTACGTGGTGCTGCCACCACACACGGGCAATGGACCGCGGACAGCGGTGCTCGAAGACGGATAGCCTGCGCAAGTCATCTTTACGAATGGGCCAGGTCTCGCATCCGTACGAGTGAAAAAACTAAGACACCGGTCGGGGAGTGTCGTGTTTTCGAGTGCGTAACACGCAAATATTTGTCAGAACTGATAGTGTTAACGACAATGATGGACTGGAAGGAAGCCTAAGTGCTCAGATCAGTTTTCCAGCAGTCAGCCACAAGTCGGTGAACCCTACACAGTGAATGTGATAACAGAGAAGGATCGGTTTCAGTGGCTGCATACATTTTAAATATGACTCATTGGTTACAGTCGCGTAAAATGCAATGAGAATACCACACAATAACTGGTACGTGGGTTTGACAACTGAGATTAAGCGGTGTTGACGAGCTACCGAGAAGCAACGATGGCGCGAATGGGAAGGTTGAAATCAGTTACAACGGGGGGTTACTAAACATTTTCCACAGCGTGAGCCGCATAATCCCTGTGCACAGAACTTGCAAGCCGAAAAGAAAACTCAAAGAAAAAAGAAAAACGCGATAATCGGTGTCCGCTTTGCTTTTAACAGCAGCCTCAGTGAAGGCGGAAATAAAGGGAATCTGAAGAAAGAAGATATTGATTTACTGACAGAATGAAGGGCCTAATAAAACACCTAAAGACAGAGGAGTAGGAGTCATTCGTGGAACTATGGCTCACTAGAGGTTTTATATATATATATATATATATATATATATATATATATATATATATATATATATATATATATATTCATTATACACGTCAGCTAGAGGTGGGAAACACCTCAGCTACTGTGCGGCAATACATAAATGAAAATGGGAAATAAATACAACAGTTGCAAGCCAGCTAAGCTACCAACAACGCACAGGCATTGTTCCGGTAAGCTACCAGCCGGTTACTAGGCAAAAAGAAAAAATCGTTGTGTTTTACGCTAAGAAATGAGATCGTAGGTGGAGGTGGAGGCTAAAACGGATGGGGAGGGGCAAAGAAACTCAGCACGAACGCCATTGAGGTCGGCTCCTTGCCATGTCAGCAAGTGCATCCAGTCAAATGTGTTCACCGTCTTTTGGACCCCAACCAGGGAGCCGTGACGCTCCAACCGAGGCCAGCTCAGAAGTGAGGGCCTTCATTCCTCTGCACCAAGTCATCGCTTGGCCACCCCTCCTCTTCTTCCATCCACATCCCCGGCCCGCAAACAACGTACGTCGTGGAAGTCGATGGGCTGGCATGCGCAACACGTGTCCCAGCCATCGGAGCCTGGTGCGTGAAAGGACGGTGCTGAGCAGTTCAGTTCCTTTTCCTGTGCCGCAAACATAGTGTCGAACACGCTCGTTACTCACGCAGTGTTCCCACCAGATGCGAGCCAAACTGCGAAGGCACCGATGCTCGAACGTAACTAGGCTCTTTATGTCCGCCGATCTTAGGCGCAAGTTTTCGCAACCGTTCAGTAAGGTCGAACGTACCGCTGCATTGTACACTCTACCCTTCAGGGCGAGAGTGATGTCGCGCCGCCGCCATAGGTGGCGAAGGTTAGCAAAAGCACTTCGAGCTTTTGCTATACGGTTCGTGGTCTCATTTTCAATCCCAAGGGCGCTGATACAACTTCCCAGGTAGTTGAATTTCCGAACGACTTCTAGCTGATCCCCACCAAGGGTCAGCGCAGCAGGCGATCCCTGCCAACCTTGGAGGAACGCTTTGCATTTCCATGGTGCAAAGCAAAGCCCGAAGCGTCTGACAGCCAGTGCTAATCTGTCCAGCGCGGCTTGGCACGTCTCGGAGCTGTCACAGATGAGGGCCATCTCGTCTGCATACTCGAAGTCGAGGAGTCGTTTTCCTGGGAGTAGCTCCACACCTTCCAAGTCGTGTCCCGAAAATGCAATCTCCATGACTTCGCCAATAGCGAAGTTGAAAAGGAAAGATGACAGCTGGCATCCTTGTCTCAAACCGCTGGAGATTTTTAAAAGCGACGACAGCTTGCCGTAAGCCCTCACTCTGCCCGTGCTATGCGCGTATAATGCTCGGATAATATTTACATATTTCCTGGGCACTCCTTTCCTGAGTAGACAACTCCAAAGGGCACATCGATCAACCGAATCGAAGGCCCCTTTGATGTCCGGCAACACGACTACGGTGGGCCGCCAATATGTGTGACGGTGCTCCAACAATATATATATATATATATATATATATATGCTGAGGCTGATGTTGCATTCTTGATGCTTCTTCACCGCAGTTCGGCTAAAGCAACTTACACTTAGTCATTTTTAAGCTGGCTAAATTTCATTCCACTTTATTTGGTTTGTTCTGCCTACCTGAATACTATTCTATTAACTGGCCACGTTGCTCACATTAATGGCGCTTATCTTCGGTAATTTTGTTGCGTTTGTAGCATTTTTAAGTACCCTACGGACATTTATTACTTATCACGGAGCTGTTGCTGACCAACTTACTTCATATGGTAATTTAGCGAAGAGTTATGCCACCGTATCTGTATGCATTATTGGATTTATTTTATTTCAGCTTGTCGTTTAAAGTGAATGGCTGTTGTTTGATATCCCCGGTGTGGATGCGCTTGATGTGCATGTTGACAAGGTGCCTACCTGTCTATTACCCACTACCTCGTCCATACTGGCTCCAGGAGACAATTGGTCGTTGCTGGAGGGGACGGGATGCACGGTTCTTGTGGCCGTGCTAGGCTCAAAGAGCGGTTCCATGCACTCAGTGTGGAGCGGACTACGGTCCAGCCACCGCCTTGTGTGCGGTTGATTCCCCAAATACAGCGTGCTTGTGTTTGCCTGTGAAGGAGTGTGGGCCGGCTCCGTTGATGAAACCTGGCACCCATCCACATGCCTCGCGGTCTTATTCCTTCGGGTTTAAACTGGATATGAGGTGTGTGGTTGGAGCTGTGGGTGGTGCAGCGCAAGCCATCCATGGTCCCTCTGTAGGCGCAGGCGTCCTGTGGCTGGCCACCGTGACGGGCAAATTCGAAACCGGATGCCGCCAACCATATATATATATATATATATATATATATATATATATATATACGCATCTAACAATACCAAAGTGTACGAAAACAACTTACGCTGCCACCGAAATTCCGTAGTAAAAGCTTACAATTTGTTCTGAATGACTAGCAGATATGGCTCTAAAATGACATGCATACAGTTACGGCGCCTTAATAAGCGGCGTTTTATAAGACACGTGTTTCTGGGGGCTGAATAATGAAAGTTCTATCACAAATGTATGAGGTAAACAGGAACAAAGTAGGGTGCACGGATGAAACGGTGTGATGCGTGAGCACCCATGTGAATATTCGTACGAGGTGGTGTCACATGCAACAAGCATGGGGATGCTGACTCTAGTGTTCAAAGAGCATCAGGTCACGAACAACAGGACATACAGTGTCAGATGCAAATTGCATTGCAATGACTCGTGTTCCATACGCTTTATCAAGCAAGTTCCGGTAGTTACGAGTTGCTGTTTGCTGATTCCTGGATTAGAAGATACGGTTGAAAGCAGTGGTATTAGGAAATGCGCGGATTTTTCTTCCCACGTAGGATAGGAGGACGAAAATCGTGAAGCCTATGATATCTGCCAGCTGACAAAACAGCCGAAAGCAACTCCACCGAG